CCCCAAAAAAAAAAAAAAAAAAAAAAAAAAAAAACAGGCCCATGGGAATGAGAAATGGTCAGGAAGTTGTGAGGAATTTCTGACACCCAAAGCTACAACATTCCCTTCTGTACAGCAAGGTATGTAAATCACCTTATATGACATCTCTAGGATATTGCTGGCCTATGTTATGCGTTTTGCCTTATAATTTCAACATGTAGCTGTAGAATTATATAGGCCTTAGTGCGGTAGATATAATACTACACAAAGTCATTCCTCAGATTCATGATTATAAAGTCTTCCACAAGAAACAAACCTCAGCACACAAACACCTCCAGTAGTTTTCTAAATGGCATAAAATGCCAACTGCATCTCAAAGAGCCTCTGGCTTTGGGACACACGCGTCTGGCCACGTCTTTCCCAGACTGTCATCACGCACGGAGGACTTCACTCCGAAAACACTGCCTGCTGCAGGGACAGGCTGGAGCATCCGCCCCAATCCCAGCATCACCTAGTTTTGTCATTATCATCAGGAGACAGTGAGCACCGAGGGGAAAACACTGGCCCAGGGTCTGGCCCAGCCCCATGCAGTCAGCAGCTCCCCACCAGCCCAGCAATTTCCTTACTTCCTCAAAATCCAGAGCTACATGCTCTTGAAGATCACTTCCAGGGGGTTGCAACCCAGTGACAATGTCTAGCTTCGTTCCTCCTCGCCTATAGGGAAGAAATCATTCTCTGTATAAACGTCACTTGCATACAGAAGGCGTGGTGTGAGGTGCTGAGGACACAGCATTTAAAAGATGTCATGGTCAGTGCCCTTCAGGATTTACTTTCTAGCAAGGGAGACAATTACTTCAATAATTATGTAAATACCATTGTGATGTTACCAAGGAAAAGGACCTGGAACTAGCAGGGTGTATAATGGGGGGCTCCCGTCATATTTCAGCTGAGCCCTGAAAGCTGATGGGGTGGCGGGTATTCCAGGCAGAAGGAAGGCAAGTATGGAGTGCTTGTGTGGGAGAAGCATTCAAATCACAAACAGAGTGAAGCAAGCCTCTTAGAACCACTCATTTAAAGAGTGTAGCTGCCTCCAGGCCCTGGGTGAGGGCCATGGCTGTCAGGATGGCCCTGCAAGGGGAGGGGCAAGACCAGAAACACATACTCCAAGACAGGAGTCCGGTCCTGAGGCTGGACCCACCCCTGGCTCGTTATTTCTGGTGCCAACCATGTGTCAGCATCACACATATGAAGTGTGACTGAAAAATATGGTGAATGTTCAAATATCTAAAAATTGATTACAAGTGTCTTTAGTTATGCTGTTGTGGCTGCCTCAATGTCCTGAATCAGTTCAAAACATTGATCTTTCAAGGTCATCTTGACTTTGGGGAAGACTCAGAAGTCACATGGTGCCAGACCTGGTGAATAAGGTAGGACTGTGATGTTTTCACAAGCCTGCCGTTCCATTGCACGGCACTCAGTGGCAGCAGTCACCGTGTTTTTTATCACACTTCCTAAAAACATTCATGAAAATGGACTTCCAGGACAGCTCCAGAAAAGTGACAATGACGGCAGAATGAGTATGCTCTGAGGGGGAGTCGTGGCAAGCTGTCTTTTACTGTAATGACTTTTAAAATCTAGCCACTCATTGTATATTTCAATCACACCTCACAGGTTCAGGTGGAAACACTTGATACAGTCACAGATGCAGGGAGATACAAGACAGAAGAGGAGGAAGACACAATTTTGCACCGCAGGGCTCTCTGAACAGCTCCAAGAACGGGATGGGGCATGAGGATGGGAAAGACTTGGAACAGGGAGAAATACCTGAACTGTGGGAACAAAATAAGCAGAGACACAGTGCACAGGCATGGGGTTCAGGATGAGGAGAAGGCAGAGGTTGGCAACAGTGTCCAGCGGGCTCAGGCTGCTACCTCTGATTCAGTAGGTGGACATGGCAATGCCAGTCTTCACAATGGGTTTGGAGACCTCATCAAACCCCAGATCTGCCCAGACTGGCCCTATAGTTAAAGGTGTTTGCCCTCCCCTTGCACTAGTTCCAAGTTTCTCAACTGCTAGAGTCCCAAGAACCACCCGAGGGCTGAGGATTTAGCTCAGTGGCACTGTGCCTGCCTTGTAAGGGAAAGGTCCTGAGTTCGATTCCTGATACAAGAACAAACAAACAAACAATCATTTGGGACAGGCAGCCTCATCTCCAGAGACTCTAGTTAGGTAAACAGGGATGAGACATAGGCCCAAACCTCAGCAAGAATCAAAGGCTCCTCCAGCCACCAGCTCTAGGACCAGGAGGATTCTTGGCCTCCTACAGGATATGATCCTGGACCAGTTGCCCCCTCTTGGTCACAGTGGGTGTCTTGGACTCATCTGTCCTGTGCATGGGGACAGAACCTCAATGCAATGGAGAGAAGCAGGAATGGAGAGCCATGGAATGTTGAGCACCGAATGGTCCCAGATCTAGGGACATTCTCAGGGATAGTGGCAGCTGAGTGGGCGAGTGCCCAGGAAGGAAGAGGGGACATTCTGAGCAAAGGGCACAGCTTGTATAAAGAAGCATTCAACACCTTTAAGCAAAAAGTGCAGAGTGGAGTAGAAGTGAAGCCAGAGGGTCAGGTTCACAACACCGCCCCACAAAGAAATCAGGACTTAAACTAGGCAGCAACAGAACCCTGCTGCAGAACCCTGAACCCTGTGGGGTCCCGGGTGAGCTGGGCTCAGATACAGGAAACACCGCTCTCTCCTCACTGCTCTTCACCTGCCAACATCAGTCTCCATGCTTTAAGGTCACTTACTCCTATCCAAAAGCAGATTCAGACCCCTTCTACACAACTGTCTTGTCAACCAGACGCAAGAAGCTGGTGCGGGAACCCAGTCGGGCAAGCAGTGGCGGGTGAGCGGGAAGGAGAGGTGGAAGCTGCCACCCAAGCAGGTTGGCCCAGCCCGGGACAAGGCAGCTGAATGTGCTGTTCTCAGGCCACATCAGTTCCTCTCTGGGTTTTCTCTTCCTAGAAGAACCTGCAGCTTCTCTAGGTGAGTTCAGGGCCCTTGAGGGCAGGGGAGGAAGGGCCACAGAGATGGAGACACGATATGGCCCCCACTGGGTTTGACCAGATCTGACTCAAACACTTCAAGCGTTACTGAGAAATGCCAGGGCAACTTGTATGCTCCCAGAGGCCTCACCAAGATCTTGAATTTACTCAAATGACCACTGGTGTCTTCACATGACTAGTTCCATCCTCCGCAAAGAACACAAAAAGAGGTGCAGACTGGAGGTGCTGTTAAACTCTGCAGGCTTGTAAAATAGGGGCGTGATGATTCTCCAGGGGAAGAGGGGAGCAAGGGGCTGGAGAAAGCCGCAGCCCCACTTCTGCACCACAGAGCCGTCTGGCTCGAGGACACACCCCCGGGCCAGGCCTCCAGCATGGTGTGAGCATACTCTCCGCGGGGAGGAGGAAGTCAGGCCCCAGACGTCTGAGGAAGGCAGTGCAGGGGAGGGCCCCGCCACCCCTAGCCCGGACAGCGGCGCGCACTGAGGCAACGGGATGGGGCGCGGGTCCCGGTTGCGGCCCGGC